CCTGATGTTGATGAGAACTCGAATTATTCCGAATGATGTAAAATATGTACCACATGTTGTAAAATATGTATCAAATGTTGTTTTTTTATATCAATTAACGATGTGTGACAAATGTTGTTTAATAAGTTTAACAAATATTGTTTAGTATAGTAAGTTTAGGGTTTAGAAAAATTTCGAAGAAGAAGAAGAATAAGAAGAGAAGAAGAAGTAACTTTGGGGTTTAGGGATTTGATTTTCGGGGTTTCATACATTTCCTAGTTAGTTCGTCGTAATGGAAACACGGGCCTGGTAAGTTCGTCGTAACATGAAAAACACGGGCCTGGTAAGTTCGTCGTAACATGAAAAACACGGGCCTGGTAAGTTCGTCGTAACATGAAAAACACGGGCCTGGTAAGTTCGTCGTAATAGAAAACACGGGCCTGGTAAGTTCGTCGTAATGGAAACATGGGCCTGGTAAGTTCGTCGTAATAGAAAACACGGGCCTGGTAAAAGCCTTGTTAATTTACGACGAGCTTACGAGGAAGAAAATTATCTATATAAGCACACTCGCATACGAGGCTACTCGCCTCGTTCATTCCTCCTTACCTCCTCTCCCTCTCAAGGTAACCTCCTCACTCTTCTTTTTTTTTTTTTAGTTTAGTTCTGTTTTAGTTTAGGTAGTTAATTAGGTGGTTTGTTTAGATGATTAGGTGGTTAGTTTAGATGATTAGGTTACGTAATTAATTATTTTAGATAATAAGTTTAAGATAAACTGATGATATTTATTTATTTTATTTAGATGACTCCTAGACCGAAACCGATGAGACCACCTCCTTCGTATAGTGACTTGTTTGGTACTGATGGTATCGGGACATCGTCTTCCGGCCCGTCATCTTCCGACCGTGTGCCGGAGTCTCAGGCATATTATCCCGGCAATGATATACCATATCATGAGATGCATCCACCTTCCGGTCTTACTCGACATCCCGGTCCTAATCCCGCACCCGATCCCGATCCCATTCCCGCAGGCGGTGATCAGGTTCATCCAGATTTGCAGGTACCTCCCAGTGCACCATATGCTGCCTATACTATGGAGGATCTTCTTGCCCAACTGGGGCGAGAAGGTTTAGATATTCTGGACCCCGATCATCCGCGGGGTACTTATTAGTCAGGTTTTTTTTTTTGAATTCTTAATTTTTTATTTATAAAATTCATAATTTATATTATTTTCCAGGTTTGGAGCTAACAACCGCGTTAGCCAGAGTGTTTCAGACACAATGAAGGGGTACTTTCTCGAGCCCCATCCGAATTGGAGTATGACTCCAGACCACGTGAAGATAACGTGGTTTAAAATGTTTGCGGTAAATATGTTTATAATATTTAATATTTATTTTAAAATTATTGTTTTAATATTTTAAAATTATCTTTTTTTGGTTTCAGAAAAAGTGGCATTGGCCATTATCGATCAACGAGAAGGTGAAGGAGGCTTCTATAGCAAAAGCCAAGACTCGTCTTTGCAACAATGTCTCGGATTGGAAGGACAAATGGGAACTCTACGGTTATGAAGGGAAGCCCAAGGAGATCTCCAACTTTGTATGGAATGGTCTCATCCGCTATTGGAGCCTACCTGCCTCCATCAAAAAGTCCAACACCTGCTCTTCTTCCCAAAGAACGAAGGATAAGTACGAAAATGACCCCATGCTTCATAGATCCGGCCAGAAGCCTCATGCTGGGATTCGTCTAGATGTTGTAAGTTTTATTTTTAATATTTTTTTTAAATTATTTGCTAATTAAGTAATTAAAAAAAATAACTCTTTTATTTTGTTTGTAGGCCGAGAAGACCGGAGTCATGCCATCTCTGACTGAGCTATTCAGGATGACTCACGCCACACCAGATGGAGTATTTTTGGATCCACGTTCCAAGAGACTCTATAACGATGTGGTTTCTCAGGTTGAGGAGCGACAGACACAACTAACCCAGCAGGCTCCCGATGGGTCACCCGTCACATTGACTACAGAAGAAGTCGATTGGATTTTCGAAGAGGTAAAAATTTTGAATAAATTTTAATTTGTTTATATTAATTCGATTTTATTAATTATTATTTCAATATTAATGAACCTTTTTTGAAAAAAGGTGGCTCCTAGAAAGAAGGGACGGACGGTGGGAATAGACTCCGTTAACGAAGTTCCAAGGGCAACTTCTTCGTACACTTCGCGCCGGGATGAGGAAACTTCTCAGCTGCGGTCTCAGATGCGGTCCCAGCAGGAGCATTTGGACTCACTTGAGGATTTGTTGGACATCGTGGCCACCGATAACCCGGTTATGCAGAGAGCGCTAAATGCAAGACGAGCGGCTCTCGGAATGCAACAGCATCCTCCTGAGTCAACCGGTCGACCCGGCCCAGAACTCAGCGGCCCCGACGAGTATCTCCGCACCAACATGCCGTAGCTTTATTTTATTTTATTTGCTTTTGTATTATAAATTTAAGTATTATAAATTTATATATTATTTTATGACTTTTTAATATAATGTTTTTTAAACAATCTTAATTTTAGAATTTTTGGTTTTATATTTTAAATTACGAAATTTATAAATAAAATATATAATTTTAAAATTATATTATATATAAAGACCAAGTAATTTCGTTGTAAACTTTACAACGACTTAACATCGAATGACAAGTAAGTTCGTTGTAATGTTTACTACGACTTTACATGTTCTACTAGTAATCTACTCGTAAATTTACATCGACTTAACATCGAAGTTTTACGTGTCTATTACGTTGAAAATGAACGAGGACTTTACGTTGTAGTTTAACGTGGAGGTTATGACGAAGTACTCTACATGTCTTTTACAACGAATGGAGTTCCTCGTAACGTTACGTGGACTTTACGACGAAACGTGCATTACGACGGGTGTTTAACAACGAAACGGCTTTCCTAGTAAAGGTCCTATTACGACGAATTAACCACGAATATAGCACTAGTAAAAAAAAAATTTCTTGTAGTGCCCCCCCCCCCCAAAAAAAATGTATATTGATTTATGACTTGATAGTTTGCATAGTTTCTAATTATTTTTCGGTTTTTAAATTTGTAGTTTTGATTTTTCTGTAGATTTTTAGTAATTTTTAAACTTGATGTTAACTTTTTTTTAATATATTGCATTATCTTTTTAAAACCTTATGCTTTTTAAATGTCGTTTTGTGTGCTTAAAAATATTAAAACTATATTTTCAAAAAAAGATATTTGTACAATCTTATTTATAGCAGAATGAAAGCAACTATCTCTTCTTCACAATGTATAAGTTTGGAGTTTAGAAAAGGGTATTAGTTTATTTTTGTGATATATGGAAAAAGAAAATATAAAACATCCCACAAACTACGGGTGTGATTGATTGGTGTTATAATTTTAGGTTTTTTTACTTTAAAAATGATGCTGTAAGTTTTATGGTTGTAGTTTTAGGCTTTTTACTGTAAAAATGATGCTGTAAGTTTTATGGTTGTAGTTTTAATTTGTTTTGCTGTAATAATATTTCCAAAGACATTGAAAGTACTAAATAAAAACTGTTGAAAATTGATTGCCAGAATCAACATATTTCATTTTCTAATTTTTATGCTCTAGATTCATTTCTTAAAGTCAAAGCATGATTGTTTTACAAAATGGCTTTAGAAATAAAAATGGATTTCTAGAGCATCGAGAGCTCTTAAGTCAGGTAGATCACTAATAATGGATGAAATTTTATTATTGATAAACTTGAAAACTCTAAAGAAAAAAAAAGTAGAATATGAACTGCCAGACTTTTATATTAACTGGTTTATGTTTCTAATTTTCCTTGAATTTAAACCATCAACTGAAACAATTTCTTAGAATACCTATATGGTTTAATAATTAAAAAGGTTCAGATATATTCCAAAAGTTGTATTCATTTTGATTTTGAGAGCTTGATTGTTTCCATTTTTTTTTTTTTGAAACACTGCTTGATTGTTTCCATAATTTCTAGCTTTTTGTTTTAGAGTTTGTGTGGTTTGCATTTTTATGTACATTTTAGTTCTTTTTAAACTTGAAATTTAATTTTTTTTTGTTTTAAATATACTATATTATCTTTTAACAAAGTGTTATGCTTTTTTGTTTTAGGTGTTTAAAATATTGAAACCATATTTTTTTTTTAAAACAAAGCGTATTTCTGACAGAAATATAACTCAAAAAATTATAAGTAATAATAACTACTATAAATAAAATATACATAAATCCTATTTCATATAATGAACATAAATTATTTCACATAATGAAAACGAAATTTTGTATGGATGTAACATTTTTGTATTTAGAAGTTTTATTTTATTTAAAATAGCATTTAAATAATTATTAGTTTTCAAAAAGCAGTAATATCTGAGAAGAAAAAAAAAATCAAATAGAAAACACACATATTGTAGAAAAAATGTTATGAAATAAGAAAAATTCTGAAAAAACTAGTTTCTCTATATTTTAGAAATTTATTTGTTTAAAACCATGACTGGCTGATAAAATGTTTTTTTTTTTTTTTTGAAAATACTAAAACCAAAATTTGTTTCGAAATCTGAAACAATCCAATTTCGTAACTTGTAGTCTTTACTGAATTATCAAATATAACTATATTATCTTGATTTTTCATTGATAAATTTTTAATACTGACTTGGTTACGTGTGGATAATTCTTCAGACAATCTAAACAACCGGTTTGTATTCAGTTGAAACTTTACCAATGATGTTAGATAGAAATATATAAAACCAGGGCATGCAGGCTTAAATTCAACCAGTAACCAGATAAATAGATAATATACAACAAATCTTTACTGTATTTTTCATTTGCATGGGTTTACAAAACATAAACCAAACCACGCGTTAGACCTTATAAACCATATACTTGCACCTCCGCACCCTTTTTTTACCTCCGTACTTCTTTTGTGCAGAATAATCATCAATGAGAAATCAACATGCTATATTTACCAAAAAAAAAAAAAACATGCTATATTAACAACGAAATCAGAAAACCGCTCTTGACTTCCAATCGTGGATCGCAGACCGGAGTGTATTGTTCGGTGTTAACTTGAAGTGGTCTAGCTTTTGTCTAGTCACCGGCGAAATGTTATGTGTCTCAAGCCACGCTAAGATCGCTCTTTTCTCGTACGTGAATCCATCAGCTGCAATCTGTGGTTCCTCCATTATCTTCTGTTTTGCAAAAAAAAAAAAAGTATATATATATATATATATATATATATATATATATATATATATATATATATATATATATTAGTTAAGACCGGCTAAAACTTTTTTGTACCTAAAATCATGTATCGAACAAGGTAAAACATTTACTTACTCGTAAAAGGGGACAGAAATAATGACTTGGTGCACACAAATTGCTTTGTTCTTTCTTTATCTTTGAATTTGCAGTTTCTACAAGCCGTTTCAAAACCGGTATAACTTCTTCTTTAAGATCCGGTCTATCTCGCCACCAAAATTCTGCACATTTTAAACCGGTCATTGCTAATTCCTCAGTTTCCTCCAAAGGCCAGTCAATAACTGATTTGTCTAGAATTTCGGTTAACGTTCCTTTCGTTATTGCATTTTTGACTGCGTGTACAAGCCCACTCGCATCACGAGCCGTCAACAGCTGAAGAATGGTTATCCCGAAAGCGTAAAGATCCGATTCGGGTCTCATCGTTCCAGTTCGATGGTACTCCGGGTCAATGTAGTGCTTATACATCGTAACATCATTCGTAACCAGCTTCGCTAGACCGACGTTATGCGATTTTGCTCACGTGGTTCCGGTTTAACAGGATGTTTTCCGGTTTTATATCGCCGTGAATAATTGGTTCCGGTTTAGAACTGTGTAAGAAGGCTAAACCGCAAGCTACCTCGAAAATTACTCTAAACCGGATAAACCAAGGCAAAGGCGGTTTATTTTTCTGGTGAAATATATATTCTTGAAGGCTTCCGTTTTCCAAATACTCGTAAACCAGACAACCATTCTCTGGACAAGCTCCTAGGAGAAGAACCACATGTGGGTGTCGGAGTTGACTAAGAACCTCAACCTAAACCATATATAAATCAAACTGGATCACACCAAAATCTCAACTGTTACCAAACATTAAACATAAGATTTTTTTTTTGAAAAAATAAATAAATAATTTGAACAAAATATATGCTTTAGTTACCTTTTTCAAGAACTCTTGTTTCTTTTCTGACGTATCTAGTCGGAGAACCTTGACAGCCGCCGGTGTGCGGTAAAGTTTACCATATCCTCCTTTTCCGATCGCTTTTTCTGGTGAGAATCCATCAGTGGCTGTAACAATCTCTCCGATTGTATATTTCCTGTACTGTTGATCTGTTTCTAGAAGCTGATAGGTCACTTTCTTCTTTTCCAAGTAAGTCTTTAAAGCATTTGTCTCTACCATTTGTCGCTCACAAAATTCTCTCGCAAGCAAATCTTTTGCAGCTTCTACCTCTTTAACTTCCTTCATATGCCTCTCTTTTTCCAGAGCCGCGATTTTCCTCTGCAACTCTTCTTTCTCCACAGCATTGTTTACTCTTCTAGCGTCTTTCGTACATTCTGACAACAACACTTGAACCTAGCAGAAACACCAAAAGAAATAATTTACTTGACTGACAAGCAAACAGAATCCTTCTTTATTTTAAAAAGTATCAATCAGAGGTGGTTAGGTGAAAACGAAATGTATACGTTTGGAAGACCATTCGTACAAAAAAAGAGGGATAGAGGAAAAATGAAAATATTCGAATGAAAGGTTTGATAAATTTTGGAAAACAACAAGAAAAGACAATGTAACTCAAATTAAGTGGAGTCCTAATCGAGTACACCCCTTGCATGAATAAAATGTGACTCTCATAGATAGTCGTCTACATACTATGAATCTATCGAATTTTATGTACTTTATCTCAAAAATAGGTTTGTGTAAAAAAAAACAGTTTGCGGAATGATTGTTTAAGGATTTAAGACAATAACTGTATCCAAATGTACCTTGTTATGTGTGGAGAAAAGCTCTTGACAAGCTTGTTTATACTTAACAACCGTGTTTTCTAACTCCTTCTTCAAATGCTCGACCTCTGCTTCAATCTCAACCTAACAAACACCAAATCCTCAACTCTCTTCGATTTCTTTCTTACTAGTTTCATTACTGAATCAAAAGATCATGATAAAATACCTCCTTGGATTTTCCAGATGTTTCCGAATCAGAGCCTCTTTCTTGTCGAATGATGTTGTCAAGACTCGATTGGGGTTCGGTTGTTATATCAAAATCTGAGTAATTTAGATGGGGAATATCTGATTTTCCACGACGCCTTACAATTTTTGGATCTATTGCACTTGCAACCTTACTAATTTGAGGCCTTTTGGGTTGGCTATAACCTAGGCTTAATGCCCCTAATCTCGACTCACTAGTCGTGGCTGACCTCGTCCCTACCTCTTAACCAAAAGAAAGAGAAAAAATCTCAGCTTTCATAGAGATCATACCAATTGATGCATTTTTCCGTTGAAACTTTCAACGTCAAATTTGATATTGAATTGATATTATCACTTTTATTGTTACTTGGCTTCAAAATTCAGGTTTCTGTTATTTTTAACTCTTAAACTCCGTCTTTAAGTGTATAAAACTATAAAAATTATTAATATTCATATTTTTTTAAACAATGATACATACTACAACTTCTAAATCAAAACGTTAGCAGACAATAATTATGCGCGGGACCGGGATCATTGATGTTTACCTGTGTTTTTTTTAGTTGTTGGTTTAGTGGATTCTTCTAATAATACCAAATAATGATGAAATGGAAAGAATGTAGTAAGAGTGTAAAGTGAAAATATTGTATATATAATATGCTAAATATTATTCATATGTGAAATAAGGTTTATATGAATAATTAAACTATAATATAGTTTCTAGTGAGTAAAAATAGGTGTCTATCTTGTTTTTTATTCTTTTATCCTGTAAATAGTTTTTTATATCAGAGGTCAAAATTTGATATAATTATTTATTTATAGTATTTATATTTGTACTAAACGATTTATAAATTTGAAAATGACTTTAATTTAAGCTAATATGTGTTGTTTGGGTTTCATTAGATAGATTTTTTTGTAAGTTTGGATTTTGTTCATGAATAATGTGGCATTTTTATTTACAGTGTCATCGACTGTGGAAATCCATTCGCCGGAGTCTGATAAATAAATGAAATTACAGTAACTATTAAAAATGTAAGAGAAATTACATATTTATTTTATAAATAATGAAAAATACTTAAATTTTGTTGTTTTTAATTTTATTTTACATACATAATTTTTGAAAATATATATTAGGAATTATGTTCTTATAGAAAATATATATTAGGACATGATAGGACCCGCGTGGGACTCGTTTGATTTTTTTTTGTTTTTTGGACTGTTTGTTGTGATCCATTTTTAATTGTTTTTATATTTGAATTCGTTAAACTTTAGGATTTTCCTACTATTCTGACTTTAAACAATAAGCTCAGAGGAAAAAAGCATAAAAACATTAAAACCAAAAAGCTCATATAATAATAATTCAAACGAAAAAAAAACTAAAATACTTAACAGCTACGTGGTTAGAACCCCTCACGATTGCAGACTTAATTAGATATCTTAAACCATTCGGCTAATGTGTATTCATTGTTCATAGTCATTTTTAAAAAACTATAGACTTTTAAAAATTAAACGCACGAGACCCACAAAATACTGATGTGGACACTTTGAGAAGCCTTGAAAGTGTACTATTATATATAAGATTAGTAATTCATATTATTAGTGTAAACGCACTACACAACCCAATATGACCTAAAACGTGTATGTATATATGTTTTAATATAAAACAAATTGCAACTGGATTATTAATTTTTGGAATTTAATGGTATGGGCCGACTTATTCCATTAATTCTATTAATTTTTTTCACCATTTGAAATGAATGGAATGAAATACTCATTTCATCAATTTCACGAACATTCCAAAAAAAATATACGAAGTCCTCTACAATTTTGATTGTGAATGAATGAAATGAAATAGAATTTATTTCATTTTTGATGTATTTCATCCCTATCATTCCATTTATTTGTATTCCATCGATTCTTTATTATTTTACCAATTACCTATAATTTTTTTTCGCTAACAACTGTTTGTATATGTACAAGTAAGAACTGAGTCATTTTCTTTTGATTTTGATTTGACTATACATTTAACCCCATAAATGAATCAAAATGGATATCTATATAATTTACCTATAGATTCTCGACGATCAGATAACGTTGG